GATTCGCCGCTGAATACTGTCCGGTTCAAGTCGTACATATGAAGTGTACACATGTTATGTTGCTAATACCGACTTGTAACCGGCTAGTAAAGCGCAGAAAGGGTAAAACTTTCCATAACAAGCACAGACAATCGTTGGTAACAACCAATACACTGTAATCGCCAATAAAAAATGCGAGATGCAAATATACACGTAATAAAATTCAGTTGGGCAGTAGTCTGCTGACATTTAGGAGCATAGTTCTCCTGACATTTAAGAACAACGGAACAATGCCAAAACATCGTCAACCACGATACGGTAGATTATCCTCACTAACCATACACAGAGTAGTAGAGACAACAAATAGAATCATAGGCGTACAAGTGTAATTTGAAACGGAAAGGAGAATAAATCACTAAATTTACAGCAATGTAGTAAAACTGAATTAATTCAAATTCATTTAATTTAAGACCAAATAAATAAATTTCGCATAAAGCATCATTTTTTATTTTACATATAGTGTAATGACTTCTAATCGATAACTAAGATTTTAGCTGATGCTATCAACTGAAAACATATAGCAGTTTGATACTCCGCATGTAATAACTAAACTTGTACCTTACCCATCAATCATTCCACGATGACGATGTTAATCAAAAATGATATACGGTACATGCAGAAAGTACCTCGATAATTCGAAAACAGCTATTTACTTTCGTGACTGCGACATCAGTTCATTTGAACCTGAATAATTCGATATCAAGTTAATGAAAAGTAATTTTGGTAAATTTACGCATTCAATCTATGCCAGTGTCTATTGTTCCCATTCCGAGGTGTTTCTTTTGCAAAACAACTGATTTATACATGCATTTACACTTTTTAAAAATAAATGGCGGTAACATCAGAGGCAGACCTACTAACGTTCAATCATATAAGGCGGATCTTGACTGTGCAAACAAACTTAATGCACTTTTTAAACTTCATAGGCTACATGCCACAAATGACGCATCCCCAAAAATCAAACATGGCAAAATTAATTAGGTTGTTTTAAAATGGGTTGTATTTGACAGATATTTAGCGATTTAAATGACGGTTATATTATGTCTTAAGTATTCAAGTGATAACAGGATTGCATGCCACTTGCCTACTCTGCCAAACAAATAAATTCTAGGTTATCACTGAAAATTAATTTTTAAAACTAGATTAAAATCCTATTTCAAGAAAATGCATTTCTATCTTGATAAATCTTCATTTCATTTAATACCCAGTTCGATTTTTAGACAAATTTCGAATTAACAATATCAATATTTACAGTAAACAGGATGCATAACTTACAGTAGACACATACCACTTGTAAATGGTGCTGCATAAACACATTTATATATTATGGCAGGTAGAATAGAGCAACATACGGCTCCAATGTGAGGACTGCTGATACAAACTGCCAACTGCAGAAACGTATGTTTACTATTATCCAAAAATTTTAATCTGTAACTATCTATTATACAAGCAGTAGCACCGATAGTATATTACTAGTTTAGTAATCTACTTCAATCATAACAAAAATTCGGAAGATTCGGAATGTGGCAACTCGAAATTTTAAGGCACCTGAATCGTTCCTCCTAAAACCACTCCAAAGGCACATGCACAAGTTAGCGAACGGAACACGAGAAATACGCACAGTCGGATCTCACCGTAAAGCCACATGATATTCGGCAAAGGGATATACCAAGGGTTAGAAGCCTCGAATTTATAAAGTACCCAGCACTGTGGCCCATTATAAAACTGTTTCCGTGAAAGAGACCCTCTATGGCTGCTGCTTCTACAATCAAATAGGAAGCATGATATATGAAAATAAATGACAGAATTCACGTTGCGTTTTCCATGCATTTCTGATCTCAATGTTTCTGCCT